ACTGCAGTTTCGACCTCGCATCGGTCTTATCAACACTCTCAGCGGGATTCGAACCGCGACAGTGCAGGATTGTAGCTTGACACGCTAACCACTCGGCTTTACTGCCACGAGTACCCTTAAGTCTCATTACACTGATTTAATGGTAGTCTCGACACCCTACTCTTAGATAATTTGTACAATTTACTACTCGCTTTTCCTATAAATTAGTTAACCTTATTCGCACACATTAATAGTCTCAGCAAGTTATAGTGAATATTCCATTAATATCTTCGCTCATGCTGCACCCTCAATGAAAGATAATTTCATTCTAATTAAGGCTCGTATGAATGCTTGACCATTAGCCACAGTCCTCTCCTAGCAAAGCTAACAAGATTATATTTTTCCGCATGATAGTACTTGCCTAATGATTCTCCTTTCTTACTAATTATTTTACATGAGACTTTCTCTGCTCAGCTTCTAGTACCGGCTTCAGGCCCCTCGAACCCGAACTTCGTGTCGGTGGTGATCCTGAGAGTTTCTCAGATACAGAGCTTCTGCTCGAAGAGACAGTATCAGTGGCTCTTTCAGCGGGTCTTTCCAAACTGAAGGAGCCATCAACTTTAGCACGCCGACGTCAAATGCTCGGGAACTCTTCATACCTGGGGTTTCAGGTGTGTCTTAGTTTTTTAATTTTAAGATGAGATTTAAGATTGATATTCTTTTGCCAATTTATCGACAATGTTCTTCGCTTTTCATTAATCTTAAAACATTTAATTAGTGATTAACTTACCTATATTCTCTAGTGCATTTTTCCTTAACCGTATGTCAGGCTCTAGCAACAGAGGCAGTTTTTGAGGCTCTCGTCTCTGAGACCCTTCCCCAAACTACTGGCCAAGGAAATCCAAATTTAACAGTCAGTTGGCCTGGTGGCCGACCTCCCCTCACATCTTCGATTGCTCTCGGCCAGTCTGGCACTGGCGTCACAGGCTCGCCGACGGCAGCTTTTGGCCTCTCAGCTTCGTCTCCTTCCTCTTCCACTGCATCTTGCAGTGGGAATGTGACATATGCCTCACAGTCAGTCACCTGTGGAGGTAATGCTATTTCATCTGTGTCATCGTCTGATGATCTGAGGTCAGGCAAGCTGTCTGATCCGGCGAAAAATGAGCTGCATAATTTACAAGCTGAGGTGAGCTACGTGAAGAAAAATCTCATGAAAGTACTTCATAATCTGTTACAATCCTGTCTGATATTTCAACTTTCCTACAAGTTCCTTCAGTAACTCCAACATGCATGT